GAGCAAGACCATAAGGTGGGTCCCTCGCTACGGTCACACTTGGTGGAGGGTCCACAGTAACGCCGGTAATCTCAGAAACAACAGTGGGCTGGGTATCCATCTTAGCATTCATGACATGTAACAATTCCATCATACGCCCCATACCCCCTCGAAGGTCTTCAAGTTCATTGCTAAGGCGATCAATCTCTTTTGCCTGATCCTCCATTCTTTTCCGAGTTTGAGCTCTGGTGTTGTATTGGTGCCGAGAACTCAGGGTGACAAAACTGGAAGGTGAGAGAACCGAGTGTGAGAAATCGGGAGACACATGCAATGCAAGAAAGTAAATGATGCTAAAATGTGGATGAAGATTTCATGGGATTCAATCATTGACGAATGTCGTGGGGTACCAAGGAAATCTTTTTCTTGTTTTTTCATTTTATATTTTTTTTATTTATGGTATCCCGCGATATCCATTAATGATGTTTGAACTCCATGAAATACAATGCGATGAGATGCTTTATGGATGCAATGCATGAAAACACACAAAGTCCTAGGTTAAAGGCTTGCATGAGGTTCAAAGGCAAATACCCTCCCCTGAAGTTAGATGGTTCATCCTGTCCTACAAAAGTAACCGGGTTCTAAGGGATCTCAATATCATTGATCCTTCACAAGGGTGGTTGTTCAGAAGGCAACTTACTTGCCAACCAAAACCCTCCAAGTTTAAGATCTCAATGAGCGTAGTATCGAGTGTCAACCAACTTCAGTCTGTACCAAAGCCGGTTACCTCACTACTTTCTAAAGGCCAAGATGAGTTAACTAGGGTTCTAAAAGTCAGTTAGTGCATTGACAACGTATGGCAGCCTCAATATTATCCTCAACTTGACTTAAGGAATATAAGCACCAACCAAGAAGTCGCACTAACTATGGCCACCAGATCAACCGTATCGATATACGTCGTACAGTTTCCTTGGTCTATTGCCATTTACCTAAGGTACACTAGATCCGGGTGTAGGACTCATCTCACAGCACAAGGAACAGTCCCACAATCAAAGCACAAATATATACATGCAAATGAATAATAACACAGATAGTAATAAATATGAACAGGTTAGGGATAACCCTCAAAAGTTAGGAGTTTCCCCAGTGAAGTCGCCATTTTCTGTTGCGGTGGAAATAGGATCACAAACTATTAATTAGTTCGAATCACAATTCAATTCACAACCGCTCTTTGATTTATCCGAAGGAAAAGGTCAAAAGAGGGAAAACCTATTTTTGCATCGTAAACACAATGCGGGGAAAGATCTAGGGTTCGGGGGTTGGTTAAATTTAGGGAAGGTATTAGCACCCTAAACTTCTGTAGTACTCTACAGGAACCTTTTGTTCAGATGTTTACTATTTGCTTTATTTATTTGCTTAAGGTATATGTACAAAGGATTAAAAGTGAGAAAAGGGACCTAAGGGGTTAATTCTAAGTTTACTCGGCAAGACATCGCATCTTGTGCCTACGTATCCTTACGGGAGTGGAATCAGAGTAATCGTAGTTCCCCTCAATAGGGAGGTTAGAAACTTCTTGACTGTGGTCAAGGTCTCAATGGGGAATAAACGTATCTTAGGGACACGCTTACGCGGAGTGTAGAAACTCCAATATCTATGTTGTAAATTGTTAAGTGAATTAGGGTTAGGTTAGAGATTCCGCGGCGGGAAACCCTAAAATGAGTGCGGCGACCCTTTTGGCATAACACTAGGATAAAAGCAATTTTGCCCACGGCGGGACACCTAGGCTAAACAGGGTTTGATCCATTAAAGGGGTAAGGCTATTGACTCGGCGGCCAAAAGGCTGGACCTAATCCTTCGGAAGGATAAAACTGTAAAAAAAATGTGAAAATATGACAAATCATTATATGGAGGAATAATTAAGGTACAGAAATAAGAAAAGTAATAAAGGCAGAGGGTATAAAGAAACAAAGAAACATTTCTGAAAACATGAAGAATATGAAAATATGTAATAACACTTAGAATGAAGTGAGGGAGGAAAATAGTGTGGGGCTGTGGCCACCACAAGCACATCTCAACCTCAAGCATGCAAATGAAATGCAGGAATAAAGAAAATAAAAGGTACACAAAATGACACGGCAAACATAAGGAGTTCCTTACGAAAAGGTTTTAATTTTTTAATATTTTAATTATGTAAAAAAATGTTTTAATTTTTTTAATATTTTAATTATATATATAAAAAGGTTTTAATTTTAAAATGGAATTACTTAGTTAAAAAAAAATTTAAGTTTAAATTATAAAAAAAATGTTAAGTTTAAATTATATATAAAAAAAATGTTTTTGGGAACAAAAAGGTTTTTTTGGAAAAAAATGTTTACGGGAACAAAAAAAAAGCTTTTTTTGGAAAAAAATGTTTACAGGAACAAAAAAAGGTTTTTTTTTTGGGAAAAAAATGTTTACGGGAACAAAAAAGGTTTTTTTTGGGAAAAAAATGTTTACGGGAACAAAAAAAGGTTTTTTTTGGGAAAAAAATGTTTACGGGAACAAAAAAGGTTTTTTTTGGGAAAAAATGTTTTGATAAAAAAAAAAAAATAACAATAGAATTGCAAATGCAAACAGACAATTAATGGACATGCAAACAATCCTATACGACACAATCATGGTTCATACATATCAAAATCTACGGATCTAAACAACAATGAAGGTTAACATGGCAAGGATGCAAATAAATATGAAAAATGCAAAGGATTTAGTAATTTAACGGACCTAAACACATTAACATGGCAAAATATGCACATAAACATGAAAAGGCAAAAGGTTTAGTAATTTAACCTACGAAGCGGAGGTTTGCTTCGGTAAATGTGAAAAAGGTTTGAATAAGGGAACACTGGAGAGTTCCAATCCTTCTAACGAGTTGTGGGAACGACCGCCTTTCTTCTCTGGGGATCTCCTTTGTTTCTCCCTCTCTCTCCTCTTTTCTGAAGAAAACCTTCTGACCCCTCTTAGGTTTTTTCATTCTCTCCTCTTTTCCAACAAGGCAACACATGTATATATAGGGAACAAATTAGGGTTAACACCAAATTGTCAATAATGTCCCTAAAGCCCATTTTAAAGCCCAAACTAAATAATTAGTTAAGAAAAAATAAAATTTAAATAATTTAAAATAATTAAAATAAACTTAAAATAAAAACTAATAATCCTATTGATTCCTAAAATAAAAAATATTATAAAAGGAACAAAATTTTTCAATATTTTTTTATTTTATGATTTTTTGGATATTTTTATGAATAATTTAGAAAAAAGTGAAAAAAATAATATTTTAAAAAATGATTTAATTAAAATACGAAAATAATAATTAAATAATAATAAAAAACTATTTTTGTTATTTTTTTAATGAAAGATAGAAAAATTTAGAGTAAAAATAATAAAGAACAAAAAAAGTGACAAAGGTGAGATTTAATTTTTAAAATAGTTAGAAAAAAAAAAGATTTAATTTTAAAAAAGAATTTAGAGGAAAAAAAGATTTAATTTTAAAAAGAAGTTAGAGAAAAAAGATTTAATTTTAAAAAATTAGAAAAAAAAGATTTAAAGTTAGAAAACAAGATTTAGCTTTAAAAATAGTTAGAAAAAAAGATTTAATTTTAAAAAAGATAGAAAAAGATTTAACTTTAAAGAGGAGTTAGAAAAAGATTTAAAAAAAGTTAGAAAAAAGATTTAATTTTAAAAAGAAGTTAGATTTTTATTTTTAAAAAAAATATTAGAATTTGATTAAAAAATGTGTTAGAAATTAATTTAAAAAAAGGTTATAAAAAATTTACTCTTGAAGAAAAGAAAAAAAAAAGTTAAATTTTAATCTAAATCCTAAAAGTTAGTAAGAAGAGCTTTAAATAAATAAACTAAATAGAAAAAAAAAAAGTTAATAAAAAATATTAGTGAAGTTATAAAAAAAATTTAATTAAATTATTATTAGTTAAAAAAACAAGATCTAAAAAAAAAGGTTAATTTATTAGGTTAATAAGAATTTAAAATAAAAATAAAAAAGAAAGGGTAAAATTTGGGGTATTACAGCAGGGAATAGTTTGGGATTTACCAATCTAGATTTGACGCCGGCAGGAAGGAATCATAATAAGGCTTTTCATATATCTGTCGAGTGCAGAGGTTCTCTGTTGTCCAATGTGTTGTTAGATACAGAGTCTTTGCTAAATGTTCTGCAGAAGAAGACCCTTATGAAACTTGATATGCATGGTTTGATTAGTAGGCCAAGTGATTTGGTTGTGCGGACGTTTAATGGATTGAAAAGGCCAGTGTTTGGTGAGGTGGTAATGCCTATCCAGGTTGGACCTAAAACTTTTGATGCGACCTTTTACATCATAGATATCTAATCGGCCTACCGTTGTTTACTAGCTCGTCCTTAGACACATTATGCCAAAACAGTAACGTCTACCCTGCATCCATCGCACTAAAGTGCAAACAAAATAGACATAATTAATTTGTTGGATCGTATTGTCATCCCTTTTAAAAATACTCATGATAAGACTAATATTAAATTTGATCAAATTCCACCCAATCTAAGCTTACTATTTTTAAAAAACAAAATCACATTTTTTATTGAACCTTGCAAACTTTTGTAATTTAAAATACTATTAAAAAACTAAAATGATCAAATTATTTTAAAGAGCTTAAATATTTAAGCTAAAAGTAATATAGAAAAATGAAAATAAATAGGGAAAACAGTAATTAAATTCATCAACTTTCTTTTAGTATGTTCAAAAAAGTTATAAAAAAATGGAGTAAGTATTTATTAATTTACTGACAAAACATTTATGTATTTCTTTTAACACGATACCCATTTATGTCTTTTGCTTACTTGATTCTGGGCTACTACTACCTACATCAATCACACTTCGGTTTCACCACTACTACTAGTTTTTCTCACTCACTCTTTGCTTTAATCGTGCTCCAAAAACCATGACCAACAACAACCCTTGAAAAACCTCTTTTCCTCTCCTTCTTCAACCTCAATCTCAATGGCTTCTTCTTATAACCCTCATATTCGTAGCCATTCCAAATCCCAAATGTACCTCTTCAAAATCCTCCACATCATTTCCTCCATCCCTCCCTCCATTCAACAGCAATCCTCTCCCAACAACAACAAAGGCGTTGGTATCGATTTAAATCTCGCTTTCTCTTCCATCACAGACACCGAAGAATCCGAATCGTCCAACAACAATAACAACAGCGAAAGACAAGAAGAACCGAAAGTGGTTGATGTTGACGTTGATGACGTGGCATCGGAGTTGGAAAACGAAGGCGACACAAAAACGACGACGTTTCGCGGTGATAGTAACTGTATAGATTTACTCATCGAAGCGGCGAGAGTGTTATCTGAAAAGAACGAGTCGGAGGAAGAGAAACAAATCGAAACCGAGTCACCGAGTCATGAAGAAAGCGTTAAGAAACAGAAAGAAAGATGGGTTGTTGTGGATTTGTATGAGACTGAACCGGTGGTTCGGTCTAAGAGAGGAAGGAACCAAACGTTACCGTTCCGGTTCAGAGACTCGGTGGTTGAACCGTTGAAACGCAAGGGTCGGAATCAGAGAATGTCGTCAACTACTAACTCAAAGAAACGACTTCTTCGTTAGCACTTAAACTTGGTTTTAGTATTTTAATTTTAGCAAATAAATTTTGCTAACTTTATGTAATATTATTACTTGCATTAATTAATTGATATATTGATGTGTTCTGGTTCAGGAAATTGAATTCAGAGTTGGCACGTAGAAAGAAACCTAGGCAGGTGTATGTTTTACAGATTACTGAGTCTGCTATAACTGTTTTGGTTATGAATAGTCTGAGTCTATGTCTTCTAGGCATTCAATACTCTATGATATGCATGTGATGAAAAATAGTGTTATGTTATCATTTCTTCGTTTTGAAATTCTAAACTCCAGTTATGGAGAAAGTAAATCATCACGTTAGACAGCGGGTACAGAGCACAATTACTTCAACCAAATGAGAATTTTTTATTTGAAGGAACTTATTTAATGGCTAGAGTCATGCATTAAAATATGAGAAATAAGTTGCATATTATGTTACTCAATCAGTCTTAACTATAATCAATCCATATATTTCTAAAAATCCACTAAAACCTTTTTTTATATAAAAGAAACACCTATTTTTATATAACAGAAAGAAAGATGGGTTGTATGTGAAATTGTATGATAGCGGTGAAAAACTAAAGATAAACAAATGATTAATGGTGAAGTTGTTCCATATTTCTTCTCAAGATTGGTATTATTGGCCAATCAAATGAAATTATGTGGTAAAAAGATCAATGTGTTGCTAAAGATTGCGAAAGTATTGAGAGTCTTAGCTGCTAAGTTTGATCATATTGTCGCGACTATTGAAGAGTCCAACCTCTAAAATGAAGCTTGAAAAGTTACTTTACCAAAGACTTCAATACAAATGATACTGAAAAAGCATAATTTGAACATGCAAGTAACAATGACTATGATGAAGTTATACTCATGGCTAATACACATTTCACACAAGAAAAGACCAATGTGTGATTTCTTGACACAGACTGCAACAACCATATGACTTAAAATAAAGACTTTCATCGGGCTTGATAAACCAATGAGAAAAGCTATTAGATTTACTCATAATAACAAAGTCACAATTAAGGCCATATGGAACATTTTTGTGAAAGGGAAATATGGACAAAAAGTAATAATCAATGGTGTGCTATATATTTCTTCTGACAAGCAATCTGATTAGTTTGGGTATGCTGTTGTTTATCATGAAAATTGATAAACAACCACTGATCTCTAAAAAAATGGTTTATTTTACTTTATGAATACTTCGATAATGTCTATGATTGAATAATGTTGTTTAAAGTTTAAAAGTAAAATGTAAAATTTGTAAAGGAATTGCAATAAAGAACTTCAAAGTAAATTGCAACGAAAAAGTAATTGATAAACTGAAAATAACTTCAATTGTAATGAAAATATAGTGATTCACATGTACATTCTCAACAAACTTTTTTCTCAACACACTTAGATATTTTGAGTAATTTATGAGTATTTGTACAATGATTGAACACACAAAATCCTATACATTAAGACTTTTATTTATACTACGTCAAAAATAACTGTTATCAACGGTCTTTTCTCCAAAAAAATGACACGTTTCGCTTGCATGTCTTCAATTCGCCACAACTTTACATGCGTCACCTTTGAGAAACAGATAAGGACAAAAAACAGTTATCATCCTTATTCAAAATTCAAAGCCTTCGTCGAACGCAACCTCAATATTGTTTTCATCAAAATTGCAGTCTAAGCTCAGAAATATTTCTAAGTCTTAATCCAACATATCCTTCTTACAAATGATCTCTTCAACTAAGATCTTAAATATCGCTTCTATCGAACTCCAAGACATCTTCTTAAAAATATTTCTTTTACTTATCATACTCAATCAAACTTTGGTGTCGAAACTTCCAACTAACAACTGCATGGTAAAGTCTACACTACAAAGTTACAAAATAACGAGCTGAAGGTATTTGATGGAAATGCAAAGATAATTTTAAATTCACCGTTGTTAAATAGCAAGACTTTCAAAATCATGATCAATATGTTTGTCCATAAATATCTTGCATTACCAATTAATGATGATCAAAACGTGATATGACATAAAAGGGATGACCACTTGAGTTTTTGAAGTCTAAACCTGATGTGTATGAAGAGAATGATGTATGGTTGCACTCATATTAAAGTACCAAAGAAACTATGTGAAAAATGTTGTGTAACCAAGTAGACAAGGAAGTCATTCAAACATGACTTGTGTATGAAGTCAAAACTGTGAGGGCAAATCCTCATATACAATACATATGTGTGTTTCAATGATGTCAAAACGCAATTACATGGAAGAATCAGTATTTAGCACTATCACCACAAAGCAAATGCATATCATATCCCTTATGTCTCTCTTGCTTGCATGTTATGTCAATCAAACTAGCAATATTGAGTCCAACATATTTGGTAGATCATACGTTGTGTCTAGAAGTGTCAAAATCACAAAAATCAGCATTTTAGCAAAATAACAAGGTTTGAGTCTACCACTCCTTGTGTTCCGGTCGACTCATAGAAGGTGCCTAGAAAGTGAAATTTTCACTGGTTGGCGCACGCCGACCTATGGTCGACGCATACTAATGATATTTTATGTTTGTCTAAAATTGCAGACTATGTGTCGACGCATAGTCCTGTGGTGGTCGACCGTTCGCTACGTTTTCTGCATAACTTTCAGTCTTTCCACTTATTTCAAAAAGTGGTTGTGTCTGTTACTTTTGGCATACTATAAATAGATTTTTGCTCATTCTTCAAAGGATAGAATTGAAACATTTGAGTCAATTGCATAAAACAAGAAAAGGGAAATAGGTGCCATTAGTTCTCACCATCTTCATCCTCAACATTTCATAACACAATAATTACACACTAAATTTTTTGCTGTGCATTATGGTTTGGTTGAGGTGATAACGTCTGAAGCCGTTGATTGGGAATCCGGTTCGGGTTGAGTTTTTGGCAGGTTTTTCATGAATAAAACCTTGAAGGTTTTGTCCTCCAAGATTCGCCGAATTTGGGGTTTTTTGTACGAATCTTCTCAGCAAACATTCAGTTGAGCGAAGGTGATTGAGGAGCGGTGGGTTCCGTCAATCTAGTTGCGGTAATCAGTGAATTGTTATGGAGAGGTTCGGGTTCGATTAGTTTGTGTTTGAGATCAGTTGGGATGGGGTTTGAAGAACACAAGGTTGTTCAACAAAAGGGGTATAACCGGAGGTCTATCCACAACAATCGAAATCAAGGAACAAGAAGAGAAAGCATCTTCAAAAACAAGAGAGTTTGTTTGTATATTTACTTGTCTATTCTTGTATAAACGATTCAACTACAACAGGTGATATCTATATTATACGAGCTCAATTCTATTGTTAGAATTGAGGGCAGATGCACCCCTAAGCGAAGACGGCGAGGGAACTGCCTCAACAAATCTTTGTGCCTTTTATTTTCTGCACTTTCATTTTTTTTGCTTAATAATTGAGTAATTTTTGTACAAGCAATTTTATCAAAGTTAGTATTGGTTTGAGTAAGTGCTGAACATTGTTTTTGACTCTAGCACAACAGTTTATTGTGCAAGGAAGCTAGAACTACTTACTCAAGGCAAAACTCACTTGGAGTGCTTTGCACGCCAAGTGTTTGATAAATTGTCTAAACCAAAATTCTCTTGTGTTGTCCATATAATTTGTTTGCATTTTGAGGCATTGGAACTAGTCTTACCAATTAGTGATATTAATCAATTGATAGTGTGACTAGTGTGGTGATTCTATTTTCTCATTATCACATCCATAGGCTAGACGCATATCCGGTCTTCTAATAAAGGTTCGTTATAGGCGGTAATTTTTCCAAGACCGCTTCCGCATATAAAACATTTTCAAAACCAATTTTTAATTGGTAGCGCCGAATGAAATTTTAATTAGGGATCTATTCAACCCCCTTCTAGATCCACTTCATCGTCTAACAAGTGGTATCAGGAGCACCGGTTCACTTCGTGACTCAAATATAACCTTGATAGAAAATGGCTAACGACCCTAAAAGGGCTTATAATAGAGCTCCCGTTTTTAATGGAGAAAATTACAATTATTGGAAAGACTGTATGCGGGTGCACATAAATTCCATAGATAGAAAAGTGTGGAATGTTATTCTCAATGGTCCAATGGAAATAACTATGACCAATATGAATAATGAGATTGTGCCTAAGCCCGAAGCACAATGGACTGATGATGATGAAAAGAAATACAATTATGATTGGAAAGCCAAGAATATTTTGATTTCCTCATTAGGAGTTGATGAATATTATCGTGTTTCTCATTGTCTAACAGAAAAAGCTATGTGGGACTCATTGCAAGTCGCCCATGAGGGGACCAATGATGTTAAGCTAGCAAGAATCAACACACTAACACAAGAGTTCGATCTCTTTTAAATGGTGCAAGGGGAAACCATTGTGGACATGCAAAACAAATTCACTCATCTCATAAATAGATTGCATTCACTAGGTAGGCCAGTGGCCAATGATGTTGCTACTAACAAAATTTTGAGGTGTCTTAACAGGGAATGGCAACCGAAGCTAAACGCCATCAAAGAAGCCAACGACCTTACAATTTTGGACCTAACAACATTGTTTGGAAAGCTGCAAGAGCACGAACAAGTGCTCCTAAGCCTAGAGCAACATGAAAAGAAAGAAAAGAAGGACAAAACAAAGATAATTGAAAAGAAATCTATTTCTCTTAAGACTTCCTCTTCAAAGTCTCAATCTAAGGAGCATAGTGTTTACACTTCGAGTGACGACGAAGAAGACGACAAGAGTGAGGACATGGGTTGTTCGTAAAGCGTTACAACCGCTACGTGAGAAAGAATGACATCCAACACTCCGAGAAGAACCTTGTCAACTTCTGGAAACAATCTAGACACTCTAGAAATGATGACACCAAGGGGAATAAAACTAGAGGATCGTGTTACACTTGCAGAAAAACCGGTCATTATAAGCCGGATTGTCCTTTGAACAAAAAAGGCAAAGAAAAGGAATCAAATAGATCACA